GTGGGGGTAGCCAGGACGTCGTGGTGGTGGAAGCAAGTTCCACGATTCTGGCATCACTGGTCGTCCCACGTTAGGGAAGCTGGGTCTCTCGAAGGCTCGTTGTAATCTGTAGTGAGTTGGTAGGCCCTGCCGAATATACGGTCGAAGGTTCCCGTAGGGACCTTCGGGTGATGTGCGTGAGTGAGAAGGTTGAAAAAGAGTCACAGAGGGTGAGGGCGCGGCATGCGAAGTGCGACGAGAGCGGGCAACAGCAAAATGTATGTATATCTAGTATTAATTTTCACTGAACTATTTCAGTTTAGTTTAGAATTATCCATGAAAGTGCTGTTCTTTGAAACCGAATATACTACAGTACATAGTACGTATAGCTTCCAAACAATGAAATATCATTTACAGCGAAAAAAGGTTGCAATCGTTAGGTTTAGCAGTAGATGTGTATTGAAGAGGCAAAACTACCATGTAAAAAAAGAAAACAGTCTCAAAACATTGGCTGACTGGTAGAAATACAGATCCACGTAGGATTTGGTCTTTATGTCCGAGAAACATAGAAAATTTCTATACAATATTAAGAAAATCTTCCTGAAAAAGACGATTTCCTTCGGAACTCGTTTCAATTTGTACGCATTTTTATCCCGATACGAATTCGTTATGTGTACGCAAATCCACGAGGGGAGATGTTATCTGGCCTCGAGGCGACTTCTGGGTAGTGATGGGTAGTGATGGGTAGTGATGGGTAACCGAGTCTTGGTGTTCGAGCTTGTTCGAACGAGCTGATACTTCGAGCTTGTTCGAGCTACTCGAACGAGCTCGGATGACAGATTTATGTTCTTAGGGCAGACCCGAGGCTCTGGCACTGGAAGCTCGAAGCTCGTAGCCTCGGCGCGTAGAGATGTTATTTGGCTGCCGGCAACCGACTCTCGGGCCCTCGGGTTACAATGTAACACACGGAATGAATCACCCATGAATAAAAATTTAAACTTTTACTCCTTTCCGTGTACTTTCTTAAAAATGTTCTGAATAAATGTAGGAGATTCTCCTGATGAAAATAAGTCCAAACCCGACATAAATCGGACAATATTTAATAACATAGAATAAGTATCGCGACATAACGCATGAGTAAGCATTGAAACTATGGCTCCTTTGAGTGTACTTTCTTTAAAATGTTATGAATAAATGTAGGAGATTCTCTTGATGTAAATAAGTCCAAACTAGACATAAATCGGACTATATTTAATAACATAGAATTCGTAATGGAGTCGTTTACACTAATCGCCAATTATCGGCACGAATTGTACTCGAGCGTTGAGAGCGATAAATATAACACTTGTGGTGTTGCGATAATTAACGCACGTGGTGAAAAATGAAAAGTTTCTTAAGATCTGCGATTACTACAATGGTTCACGACAGAATGCTCGGCGCGCAGCGAAGTTTCTACTGGTTTTAGTTCAAAATTCATTAGGATTTTTCAGAGAAGCGCCGGATTGGTTCCACGAATATCGATCATCGCAAAACTATCGATAGATGATCGATATGTCGAACAGAGTTGCGCAGATTCCGTAAATACGCTGACGCACGCGCTCTAACGTACCACCACGGTTGCGAATTCAGGGACGAACTAGCAAATCGGCGTTGGGCGCACGCAATCGTTGACAGGTTCGCAGTATGCTGCGAGACCGCCCTGTCCTATTTACTTTTGACGAGCGCATCTCGTACATTTTCATTCCGAAACAAATGTAAATTATTTCAGTTAAAAAAATAGTTTCTAACCATTTATTTTGCAATTGTTTTAAAGAAATGCATTTTATATATAGTAGGACGCAATTGAAAAATTTGAACAAATGAGGATATAGCCCTATTTGTCTTTTTCATAGACAAATTTTCAAACATATGAACATTTTAAAATTGGCCACATGAAAATAAATTGAAGTTAACGTTGCGTAGAATCACATCGGCTTTGTAGAATCAACAATTACACAAATTTTCAAAAATTCTTCGAGATACGCTTATACAAGGTAGGGCATTTAAAACAGGTCACCCGAATAACTCGCTTGTTTTTAGAGATAGAAGAAAATATATCTGACCAAACTTATTTGGTATCGAGAGGCTCATAATCTGATGTCACTAATTTTTTGATAAGTGGACGCGTCAAGAAGATATGGAGATCAACTCTGTTTTCTTAAATGGAACGGTATGGTTTTTTAGTAGCTTACATTCCGATAGAGTGTTTCAAGACGAATAGAATGACCTATTGTGAAGGTCATTGAAGGTCACTCAAGGTCAACTGCAAGAGAAAACAGATTATCTCTGTTGAAGTTTTATTTGCAAAAATTTCACAGCTGAACACAGTGTTCGTGAATATAACTAAAAGAAATGAAAATCGTATTTGGAGCAGATTGCTAATTAAACGTGTGTTCGCTACAAGACGTTCTCGGTCAACCTAAAAACTCCATAACAAAAGTAAGCGAGTCGAGTGTCCCCGACCGAGGCGAGCGATTCCTTTCCCACTCTCATACCACGGACTCCTACACCTACGCTCCGTTACCGCATACACACACACACGCGCGCGCACGCACGCACGCACGCACGCACGCACGCACGCACGCACGCACACACACACACACACACGCGCGCGCGCGCGCGCGCGCACGCACACACACACACACACACACACACACACACACACACACACGCGCGCGCGCGCGCACGCACACACGCACACATCAGACCCTGGAAGGAGATCCTAAAATGTAGTTTTCATAAAAGAAAGAAACATTTTTTTTCTTCAACAATCTCAAAGCACTCTTCGAACACTTCGACGATTTTCATGTAACATGTTATTTACGTACTCACTGTTAGTACAATTGTTCAAAATGACGACCTTGAACATGGATATGTAGTTTAAAACGTTGCAACACTGATGATACTGCTTGACAAATTTCATTTGTATCAATTATAGAGCAAGCTCTTTTTATACGTTCTTACATGTCAACTTTGGTTGTTGGTTTTTCGCGGTACACTTGTTCTTTTAAGTTTCTCCACAAATAAAAATCTAAAGGTGTCAGGTCTGGGGAACGTACCGGCATTTGTTACTTCCTGATCGACCAATCCAACGATCTCCAAATTTCTTGTCCCGAAATTCTGTAAAATTTCGTGTTGAATGAGCAGAACTTCTTGTTGAAACCACATGGATTGTCGTATGTCCAGTGAAATGTTTTCTAACAGTTCTGGGAAAACGTCCAAAATATGGACGAATTATTTTATTATGAAGAAGGCCACAGCAGACGTTTACAGACCAAGGTCTCTGTTTGTCTACTTCTCTCAGCCATCGTGGATTATCTACTGACCAGTAGTACACGTTGTAACGGTTAACTTCTCCGTGGTTTGTGAATGTAGCCTCAACCGTAAACAAAATTTTATTTAAGAACATTTCATCGTCTAGAAGTATTCATAAGCCCTTCGTAGTCGGTAGTCAAACTATTAATAACATTCGTGGATACAGATAAGCTTACAATGTGATTGAATGCATGTTTATGTCTCGTGACCCCTAATAGCGACTACAAGAGCGATATGCCACAACCAGAGAAGACACGAAAGTATTCGAAGAGTGCTTTGAGATAAGTTGTTTTCTCTTGCAGTTGACCTTGAATGACCTTCATAATAGGTAATTGTATCCGCCTTGAAACGCTCTATCGGAATGTAAGTAAAAAACCATATCGTTTCATTTAAGAAAACAGAGTTGATCCCCATATCTTCTTGACGGGTCCACCTATCAAAAACTTAGTGACATCAGATTATGAGCCTCTCGATACCAAATAAGTTTGGTCAGATGCATTTTCTTCTATCTCTAAAAACAAACGAGTTATTCAGGTGACATGTTTTAAATACCCCACCCTGTATATTACTAAAGACTACAACATATCCAAGTATGAACACAATCCGAAATGTTACTCTAAAAAGTTGTCCGATTTCGTGTGGAATGCCTCTATAGTAAAAGTATTATTTAGAAATATTACAAAGTTTCCTTTACAGGCGAAGTTTATTCAAGTATTTTTTTCCCTTATTATATTCATTAATAAAAAATTAGCTTTTGTCTTGTCTACAATAATCGTACAAGGGACGTAGTTATTTACATTTATAATTTGTGGACATTGCAAGATTGAGAATGAAGAAATGAAAGGAACTTTTGCAATACATAATAACAATTCTTTACCATTTGAGAATTTTTAAAGGAATTTGGATCACACAGAGTATTTAAAAGGGTTCATTTGAGATAAAATATTTTGAAACACGTGTGCCCACAGACAGCACTTTAATCTTCCAATATGGCGAAACCATCAAAGCGAATCTTTCGTATTATATCAAAATTCATTAAAAATGTATAATAATAAAAAAATAATTACGGAAAAAATTAACAAAAGAAGTCTATATACTTTAATTAAATGTTGTACTAGAAACAATATTAGATAATAATTCATTTCTGAATGCTATACTGCATAATTAATCATTAATTTCATCTTTAATAATACACGTTACATAAATTGTTATCTCTTGTTTACATATTAATAATATTTCATTTAAAAAATGGGTAATTACCATTTTTCAGAGATTCCAATAATCTTCGTTAATATAATTTTGTATTTTTTGTGAAACTGTATTTCTCTGGAATAAACTCAATATGTCACTATACAAAAAGGATAATCAACAGTTGAGTCAAGTGAACTGTTAATATTAACCTTAAAAATTCTGATTAGTAGAAACTTTTTTTATTTTTTATAACTCCAGTTTAATATAATACTTTTTACAACTATTCCAAATAATTAATATGGCAAACCAGTAAGGAAAGAAATACACGTACGAAGAATTCTGTACGGTAATACAGTGCTACATTCGATTATTAACTTCGAACGGTGAATCAGATCTGCGAAGTAAATTATTTCGACCCAGACGCGACGTGTCAAGGCCGAACCCCTGTAATCTCCTGCGTGTTTTGCTTATCGTTTGTCATTTCGATTAACATATTGATTGCATTAGCACGACTGCATCGTGATAAATCGGTCGAAATACTTTTCGTAATTTTTTGGTGGTATCTTTCGTCGCGATTAGAGAAGAGAATGTGTTCGACAACGTCATGGAAATATATTAGAATTCCACAGGTCAAACATTCTTTAAATAGTCTTATCTAGGGAACAGAAAAGATACGCATGTTATTTAGTTTGTGTCACGAATCTGTCACATACAATTCGAACGTAAATTCGAAGATTCTTTATAAACAGATTTATAAACCGTAATTTAGGTCTGAAATTAGAACTACCAGCGTTCGATGTATGTTAAACTAAATTGTATAGTGTATACCATAATATAACAGAACATAGTATGATACAAAATTTATAATAAATTAAAAGTCGACATAAATTCCAGAAAAAGCACCTTTATGATTTCAGTAATTGTAAAATAAGAATTTGAAATCCGTCGTTTCGACGGGTTTGGTTATTGTAGTGTTAAATGTAATGATAGAAATTGAAAAAATGTTAAAGTTACAGTGTCGCTGTGACAATACTATTCTTAATATAGTTACTAAATATTAAATAATCACAGGATTGGACACTCTCCTCCGTGATCCAATCACTCCTCTGACCAGTAAGACTACCTGAGGTACATGATTAACATGGTGCCTATACATTGTAAAGAAACTTTTATTTTAACAAAATATGTCACAAATGAAAATAATGAGAAGGTGTAACTTGATATTACGAAGTTTTGCCATTAGTGTTTTACTACTATAACAAAATATTTCATTTCTTTAGTGCACGTAATGCACGTAAACTATTTTATATTCCTATTGAGAATTTAAACACTAATGACTTAATATAATAATTGAAATGTTTCTTCATTGAGTCTCAGTTAAGAAGAGTTACATTTAAATAAGTAAAACAATAACAGCAACCATATTTGTAAAGTCTTACTCTGGTTTTCGAAAGAAAAATCTATCAAAATGGAACCGTACACTAATAAAACTTCGTTAATACATATACATATACAAAATAATGAACCGCTATACCACAGACATTTCGTTTCACTCGTAATTTAAGATCTCCCCTCATCTCATCTGATCAGTTAAAACAAGTTAGTTTATAAATTACTTTACTATCATTTACAATATACCTACAATTTCATTAGGTTAAATAAAATCTCGAAGCAGTAAAACACATTAACTATTTTATCTAACTTTCAAAATTAGAAATCATATTGTTGAGAAAATTAAAAGAGTACATACTTTTAGAAGCTCGACCACAATTTTTCCAAATTATATTTATGATCGGTATGATATCTACATCTATAAACAATATATAGATTATTGTATCTATACCTATAAACAATCTATTGATCAATATATCTATATCTATAAATAATGTATAGATTGTTATGTCAGTATGTATAAGTATCCTATAGATTATTGTATCTATAATCTATAGATTATTTCAAACCTACTACTACCAATGGATTCCAGCACGTACTGTCCATCTAACTTGTCGTCTTGTTACTTATTGTTAATGTAGCTAATGACCGATTTCGATTTTACCAGCACGATGAAACACGTAAATATGTCACACGCTATCTTGGTCGAGATTGAAGCATTATTTATCTGGAAGTATACGGGGAACGGGGGACGATATGGGCCACCATCCTATCGGCAAGTGAACTCTTTTCCATTCCTCAGTCTTGTTCGCGCTTCCTCGTCTGAACGATCTCTCGTAGGCCCTGTTGCTCGTTTACGGTACGCGGTTTTTACAAATGCTTTGCGGTTTTCTGAAAAATAACAAAAATTTCTTTGTGAAAATTCTTGTGCATCGTTTATGTCTTTGGACTGTGTTTAATCGAATGTGTTAAATTTTTCGAAAGGATACGAGCTCGTAGCAATTTTGTTAAAAAAAGTGTTAAAAGAAAATATAAAGTTTAAAGGAAATATTGAACGAGTAGGTTTCTCGGGAAGATCGATGTTTTTTGGTGTAAATCATATGTTTGAAAATTACTTAACTACCATTGTATATGTAACTATGTTTCTATTTTATACGAATGTATTGGGATAACGTAGAAATGAAAAGTTAATTTGCTTTATAATATGTGTCCCGATTTTTTGTCTGAAACATAGTTCTTGTTTAGCAAAACTATAAAAACTATTTGTATGATAAAATATATTTATGTTATTAAAATATAACTTGTAATAATCTTTAAAATTAGGAGGAATAATTTTAAATATTTTGGGAATAATTTTGAGTGTTCATTTTTTGGAATTGTAAAACATGTTGTAGATTGTACAACCTCAACACTATCTGAAACATTTTCGGAATATTTAGAATTTTTTGCTTCATTTTTCATTTATTTAATACCGTTTGTTAGACGTTTTTTCAAAATTCGTTTCCTTTTTTGAGGAAAGAAAAGCTATACAGTCGTCATGGTTATGTGTAATGAAGTCACGGAGAGCGTGATATTAAGTAAACACGTGTTGATGTATGTTTATGTGGCACTACATCGCGTGACCATTTAATATCTAATCAAATTAATTATATAATCAGATTTACTAATGTCAAGATTTATTGAAAATTTACTTATATCATTCATTAGACTTTATACATTTTTACTTATAAAATTAACAATAAATTGATTTAAATTAAATGAAAATTTTTAGGTATTGACCTAAACACTTAATGAAATTCATTTTAGAAACCGAAATTGAAGTGGACTGCGTTACTAATTGTAAACTATATATAAGCTTGGCAATTTTAAGTTGAATTTCATTGTAAAATTCAGATGATTGTATGTATGTATATTTCTGATAAAAATCAGAGTTTTAAAGAGGAACCACTGAGCAAGGAAATATAAGTAAAAAACAAAACAAAGAATTAAGTGCAGGAATTTAAGTTTGTATAATCACGACAAACGTATATGTACGTTTCATTGCTAAAAATATGTAAAACCTACCGAAACTTATTTCAACCACTAAAATTCTTGCAAAATTCGATACGACCTGAAGTGTCACGATTAAATCCGTCACTTTCCTAGACACGTCACTATCGCGAAATTAATAGTATCTAATTGTTAATTATTTTTAATTATATTAAACATTATTGTACTACAAATAATTATATTAAACGTATTAATTATACATGAAATTAATAGTTATTATTGTAAAACTAATGCCCAGATAGCACATGACGCCTTGAAGACGCCCATTTTACGGCTATTTTACGTCTTAGGCGCCTTTAAGCCGTCATTAAGCCGTTCGTGTGCTATCTGGACGGTAGTTACTGCCTGAAAAATGTTTACAAACATCGAATACTCGCTACACTATCTGTTACTCAAAATGATTCCTATTACTTTCCATAACTTCTGTCACATTTTGGCTACGCTTCAACTGCCCACCGATATACAATAAGATAAAACCACAATACAAACTTAATATTGACGATCATTACTATTACATACATCTAGTCGTGCATTAAGTATATTACCTAACGTAATATGAAATTTTCCTACCTGAAAATTGCTACGAGCAAGAATACACGTGCGACGAACGAGTTTCTGCCATAGTTTCGCATCAAGTTCCGAATGGGACAGACGAAGCTGGAGAGGAGACGCGCGTCGCCTCGTACAGAAACATGTTTGACCGCATAAAAAAGTTCGCGGTTTTATTTTCCCTCGTCCACGATTAACCGAGCCCCACATACCATCTCTCTAGTTTCAGTTCCAATATCACGGAAGGAGGGCTCCGGTACGACTAACGACGGGGAAGATGGACATGATGAATCCTGGCTGGTTCAGCGAAATCAGTGACCTGTGGCCAGGTGTCTCGTTGTCCCTCGAGGTTGTCAAAATACTGCATCGGGAACGGTCTCCGTATCAAGACGTAATGGTGCTTGAAACGTAAATATTTACTATTACACCCATCCTCTTTGCGCGTAAGAAATGAACTTTCTACATATCGCTCGGTTTCGAAAGAACAATGTCACAAGTTCAAAATTTGAATATTTTGAGTAACACGCGTCGCTACTCTCAGAAATACCTTTGTGACCAATGCAGCTTGCATATGACCAAAATACACAAGTATGGTTATTTTTCAATATGAAATCAAAAGTATGATTAAATAAAATTGTTTTTCTTTCATCTCCTACAAAATTACTCTCTTGCAGTTGTGTCATTGTTCTTTCGCGACAGCGACGTATTCAAAACGATGCGTAAACCACGAAATATTGTGAGAGATCATTGAAATCGCAAATGTTTGTATCAGGTGTACCAGTTAGTGATCCTTTATTTTTTTCAGTCAGATTCACTGTTTACTTTTTTTTAAGACTAAAACTACCAGTCCTGATTGTACGGTAAATTAAATTTTATAATACGTTAATACACATGATGTATAGTAGAGTATAACACAATATGTAGTATAATATAAAGTGTATAATAATTTAAAGGTAAAATAAGAAATCTGAAGTCCGTCGTTTTGCCGGATTTATTGATAATTTTGCTGTTAAGCACGAATTTGCTGTTCGTTCTCCAACAGCAAATACACTTTTTTCAATTGAATCATTGCTAATTTTCTTACTGTTGCAACCATATCGTGATGAAATACATGTCTGTAACTTCTTGCTATTAAGAATATAAATGTCTAAATGTCGAATTGTATATTTATTGTTCGGATTATTAATATACCGTTAATTTTAAATATTCAGAAGATTGCAAGATTATTGCGAAGTCAATTGTTTTTTTTGTACATTTTAATGAACGCGGTGACCGATGATCACCATGGCGAACAGCGAATTAATTGTTGAATATTACTACTTCAGAAACAAAATAGTGGATTCATTATTGGTACACCTCATACATAGTACAGACTCCTCCCGACTATCGTCCGGCTTGTTCTACACGATTATTGTCCAAGCGTGATCCCTATCACTGGGGGGGGGGGGAGTGTGGAACCTGTCAAACGCATATTTTCAAAACGAATTTACGAGGGTCTGAAGCATTTCCTTCTTTAAGATTATTGTCCCGGCGTGGACCCGAGTTCGGGACGATAATCGAAAGGTATTTGTACTGTGGTTTTTGAAGTTTTCTTAAAATTTGGTAGGATTTGATAGATTCAAAGATTTATATAAAATCAAAAAATTCTTCCAAATGCAGCGAAGTCTGCACAATGGTACCAGTTAGAAAATGAGCTTATAGAAATGCGAGACAGTCGCTGATCACAGACAACCAATAATTTCAATAGTACAGTTTCTTTTTAGTTACATGAGATTTTTAAATTGCCAAATTCCATTTTACTTAATCTGTTTTCATTAAAACTTAATATTACTATTTAAAATTTGAAGTAATGTCTATAGCTCTTAGATTATTTTAAATAGCAATGCAGTTTGTAAATTTTTATTATGTTGGTAATGTCGTAATATTCAGTTGTTCTCTATTACTATGTATTTCATAAGGAATTTTGGTTTAACAAATAATTGTAAATACATATTATTACATTGTATCGCGTTATTTATATACCCACTTTTGTTGCTTTGCTATTATTTATTTTACAACTATTTCTGTTTACATTGCCTACATTTTGTTTAAGAAATTTCTCTTTTGTTATTCTATTTCAAAGTATCATAAGTATATAATTAATTATTACTGTAATTAAATGATTTAGTTGACGTTAAATTTATAAAGACAAAAAGTGAACATAAAACATGACAATAATTTACAAAAGATACAGAACTTCCTACGACAAAAATTTTATTTACTGTGAACGTATTTTTACGCTATGGAACTTACACTTTCCTATAAGTACTATAGATAGCTATACATGCATATGTTGTGCAACATAATATTGTACTAACACTTCTTTTCTTAGATTCAACCGTAAATTCTTGATGTGATTTAACAAATAAATTTGCGATTATTGAGACAATTACTTGCTAATCAAACTTCGACTAATCAAGAAAAAATCAAATCGGAAATATGGTTTATATTACCATTAACACTTATTACTTTTTGTTACTTATGTACAGGAGATCACATGGAAGGGCTTTAATCTTAGATGGTATTATACAATGTACAGAAAAGGATGAATTTTCGTACCAGGAGGCAATTGCTTTTCTACCATTGTGTAGTCATCCAAATCCAAAAACTGTAAGATTTTAAATGAACCATATTATTTGAATTACATATACTCGTTTATTATTAGAAACATTAACACAAATACTACTGTAATTGTTATAAACATTAATACAAATGTCATTCTAAACTAATGTATTATTAGGTACTATAAACGTTATTATAAATAATAAATAATTATAAATATTTATAATTATAATTTTAGTACATTTCACGGTTATTATCAAAATATTAAATCATAACTACTAAAAAAAGGTATTTCAAACTATCTACATTAAAATGTAAAGGTTCAACAGAATGAAGAATGTTAAAAGTCAACAATGTTTATACACGAAAATTTATTCTGTTATTTTGTTACAGGTTTTGATCGTTGGGGGTGGAGACGGCGGGGTTGCTCGGGAGGTGGCAAAGCACCCTGATGTCGAAAGAATCGTACAAGTAGAAATCGACGCGAAAGTACTAGAAGTATCTAGGAAATATTTGCCTGTGATGGGCGCAGGTCTTGATCACCCAAAGGTCACCCTTAACGTGGGCGATGGTTTCGAATTTTTGAAACAACACAAAGGAGAATTCGACGTCATCATTACAGACAGCAGTGACCCCGTTGGTGAGTACACGTTCACACAAAAACAGAAGAAAATACATTTTCGATTTGGTCTTACAATAGTAATAACTATACCCAAAGAAACTGAGTAAAATAAAGTGTTCACGGAACTATTTAATACGTCAATTATATTTGTTTAACACGTATTTATATTTGTTTGACTTTTAGCTATTGTCAATATAAATATTTACACGTTCAGTTGTACACTATTTTTCTAATTGTTCTGCTACTAATTATATTTTGTTACGAGAGGAAATCGTAAGGAAGATTTTTTTTAAAAACACACTTTCCAGATAGCACATGACGTCATTAAGACGCCCATTTTACGGTTATTGTAGGTCTAAGGCGCGTATCTTCAAGGCGTCATTAGGCGTCATGTGATGTCTGAAACTACTTCCCTATGCTTAACACAAAACAATAATAAAATAATGATACAATCACTATTGAACTTAAACTCTGTTAAATTTCTTGATGATGACTGAACGAAGAATGAACTGTGAATGAATGTGCGCGCTTGATGTCGCTGGGTCATTCCACGCGAAATCGGACAGTTTTTGGAGCACCATTTCGGATTTTGTTCAAATTTGGATATGTGTAGTCTTTAGCGGTATATAAACGTATCTCGAAGGATTTTTGAAAATTTTTAAAATTGTTGATCTTACAGCTTTTTGAAGTTTAGGGTCAACCTTTTTTCAATAAATCATAACTATTGAACTAACAAACTGATCGAAATGAGCTTTGCGTGTACTTATAGTAGAGACATAAGAGTATGAAATAAAAATTACTTCAGTTGAAAAAAGATATTTTTTAACCATTTATTATGCAATTCTTTTAAACAAATGCCCTGCTTTTGTACTAAGGAAATATTTAAAAATTTGAAAAAATGAGGATATAGCCCTATTTGTCCTCTTTAAGGACATATCTTCAAAAATATGGACACTTTAAAATTGGCCAAATGAAAATTAATTGAAGTGAAGGCTGCGTCTAAGCGCACCGGCTCGACCGGCCAAGCCCTGTGGTACTAGGTTAGCCGGTACGGCACGGCCGGTCGAATCGATGGGCTTCGACGCAGTGTTAAGTATAATCAATTTTCATATGGCCAATTTTAAAGTCTCCACGTTTTTTTAGAATTTGTTCATAAAGAGGAAAAATCGAACTACATCCTCAATTTTTTTCCAATTTTTCAATTGGGTCCTACTATTATAAAATTGCATTTGTTTAGAACAATTACAAAATAAATGGTTGAAAAATATTTTTTTCTAACTGAAATACTTTTGATTAGGTACTGTTATGTCTCCACTGCAAGCACCCACAAAAATTATTTTGATAAGTTTATTAGTTCAATAGATAATTCATTATTCGACCGGTCGAGCCGGTGCGCTTGGACGCAGCGTTCACTTCAATTAATTTTCATTTGGCCAATTTTAAAGTGTCCATATTTTTGAAGATATGTCCTTAAAGAGGACAAATAGGGCTATATCCTCATTTTTTCAAATTTTTAAATATTTCCTTAGTACAAAAGCAGGGCATTTGTTTAAAAGAATTGCATAATAAATGGTTAAAAAATATCTTTTTTCAACTGAAGTAATTTTTATTTCATACTCTTATGTCTCTACTATAAGTACACGCAAAGCTCATTTCGATCAGTTTGTTAGTTCAATAGTTATGATTTATTGAAAAAAGGTTGACCCTAAACTTCAAAAAGCTGTAAGATCAACAATTTTACAAATTTTCAAAAATCCTTCGAGATGCGTTTATATATCGCTAAAGACTACAACATATCCAAATTTGAACAAAATCCAAAATGGTGCTCCAAAACGTGTCCGATTTCGCGTGGAATGACCCCGCTCCTTATATTATGGCAGGCATGTCAAACACGTGGCCCGCGGGCCGCATGCGGCCCGCCAATACATAGGTTGCGGCCCGCCGAGACTTTTTAAACATTTTTAAATATCAAGCTTTGACGCTTGAAGTTGGAAAGTTTGAACTTTTTGGTTGACGCTGGCGCGAGGCGTCAAATGAAAAGCGGCGGCCGAAACCGAACGGAGATAAAAACACAAGACGATCAGAAACATGATAGAACGCGGAGCGATCTAATGCGACACACGACACATGTTTGTCCAAGTCGTCACAAAGTGCAGTGTTTGCTCAATCGTTTGCGAATGATATTTTGAACTCTAAAGTGGATTTTGGTTATTATTCATATTAAACTAAAAAGTTATTTAATAAAAATATAATCGAACTTCAAGAACAATGAGTAAGAAAAGATCAATTGAAGAGGAACATCGTAATTTTCAAGAAAAATGGGAACTGCAATATTTTTGTGTCCAAAACAAGAATAAAATATTATGCCTGATATGTAAAAACTCTATTTCAGTTGCTAAGGAATATAATCTTAAAAGGCACTATGACACAAATCATAAAACAAACTATGACCAATACGTTGCAAAACTTCGTGAAGACAAATTGTCGGAATTGAAATCAATTCTTCAAAAACAACAAAGTGTATTCACGAAATGTGTTGAAGACAATACAGCTGCTGTAAAAGTTAGTTATATATTATCACATTTAATCGCAAGCAGATCGAAATCATTTACTGAAGGGGAATTTATTAGTGAATGCTTAATTAGAGCGGCGGAAGTATTATGTCCAACACAAATAAAGAAATTTAAAAGTGTTAGTTTACGTTGAAATACTGTAGCTAGCAGAATTGACGAAATAGCCGAGAATTTGAGAAATCAGCATAATTCAACAATATCAACATTTCAAGCCTACTCTATTGCAATTGATGAAAGTACAGATATTCGAAATATCGCTCAGCTGGCCGTTTTTATTCGCGGATGCGATGTTAATTTAAAAATAAGTGAGGAACTTTTGGAAATCATTCCTATGCATAATACAACCACTGGAGCTGATATTTTTGATGCACTTATGGAAGTTTTGAAGAAGTATAAGTTACCATTGGAAAAGTTCGTTTGTCTTGCAACTGATGGTGCACCTACCATGACCAGTATTACTAAAGGAGTTGTTGCAAGGTTAAAAGAAACATGCAAACAGCATGGTAATAATAATTTTGAACATTTTCATTGTATTATTCACCAGCATGTACTGTGCTCCAAAATTTTAAATATCGGACATGTTTTAAAAATAGTCACCAAAATTGTAAATTATATTCGAGCACGTGGACTTAATCACCGTCAATTTGCTTCATTTCTGGACGATATAGAATGTGAATACACCGATCTACCATATTATACGGAAGTTCGATGGCTTTCGAGTCATAAAGTGTTAAAACGATTCTTCAAATTGCTGGACGAAATCATAATTTTCTTGGAAACAGAAAATTATGAATGCGCTGAATTAAAAGATGGACAATGAATAAAGGACCTGGCTTTCTCAGTTGATATTACAAGTCATCTTAATCAACTTAATCTTAAGCTTCAAGGCAAAAATCATGTTGTTACAACGCTATTTGATAATATTAACGCTTTCAAACAAAAATTATTACTTTGGCGAAAACAAATAGAAAAAGAAAACTTGTCTCACTTTGAAAGCTGTCAATATCTATTGATTAAATCACCTAAATTAAAATTTACAGAATATGCTCACCAAATTAAATTGTTAGAAACGGAATTCGATCGAAGATTTTCTGATTTTAAAAGCTGTGAATTACAATTTCGTCTTTTTACTTCACCTCTATCTATCGATATTGAAATTGTTGATGAAAACTTACAAATGGAATTAATTGAAATCCAATGTGATTCTTTGCTGAAGCAAAAATGTATGGAAGTTGGAATTCCAGATTTTTATACATATTTATCTGTAGATCGGTTTCCTAAAATGTTATCGTTTGTTACGCGTATAATGGCTATGTTCGGAAGCACTTATTTATGCGAGCAACTATTTTCTTTAATGAAAAATAACAAAAATTCAGAAAGGTCAAGATTAACCGATCAACATTTATCATCAATTTTAAAAATTGCATCAGCTCAATATATTCAACCAAATTTTGATGACTTGCTTTGTGAAAAACGATGTCAAATATCTTCTCAAAAGTAATATTAAACTGTGATTTTGTTTATTTCTTATTATAACTTTTATTTCTGTTTTTTATAAAAAATATAAAATATTTATAGTTTAAGTTTAAAAAATAACATTAAAAAATAAAATGTCTATGTATGTATTGTATATTATATAATATACAATAAAATGTAAAATATTTTTTTAGTTTAAAAAATGACATGAAATATAAAACGACTATGTATGTATAATATACAATACATTGAGCTTGACATTGAGTCTAAAAAATACATAATACATAATATAATCATTCTAAAAATCGTATTTTATTAATTTTTTCAACATTGAAAACATGCGGCCCCCAACTTAATACAAAATAGATCATGTGGCCCGCAATATCATATGAGTTTGACATTCCTGTATTATGGTATCTGCGAGTAGGCTAATTTTGGGTCCCCCAAATGAGCTATACTTTTCCTCTCACTATTCCTTTGTAGTACGCCGTACTAGCCGCGCTTGCCGGGTGTGGGCAACAATGTTATCAAACCAATATTTGAGAAATCGATTTTCCACAATTCTTATTTCATCTTATCGAGATTATTTCTAACAAAATGGCAAAATTTTCTTAACAGAAATGTATCCACAAGTCTCAATCGAATTATTTTATGTGTCAATACGTACTAAAGCTATTGCATATCAAATAGCCTTAAGCTATTCTATTTTTATTGCACCTAACTGGGTTTAAGAATTACGAGCGGTAAACACTGCAATGATGCAAAGAACAAGAATAATGCCCTTATGGAATGTGGTAAATGGAGAAAACAAGAAAAATCACAGTTACAGCGCGAAAACGACTTTCGATGTACCGTTATTTATTGTTCAAAATCTATAGTCTAGCCATTTAATTTTTTCTCGGAGATGTGCGGTTTTTGATTTTGAAAAGGAACGATGTCTTTCAAAACATAGAAGAAACACACATACATATAAACACATACACACGTAGATACGGACCCTAACAGTAGCCTATTCGCGGACACCACTGTATATTGTCTTTACGTCGAAATATCTTGTTTATGGTCTGTTCCACTAAAGAAGAGCCCTGAGGGGTTTCCCTTCCCCGACGCGTAGCCTGGTGGGGATCCAATGCGAGCTGCGTATTTCGTGCGGCGTTGTTGTCACGGTCCCAATGACACTGTGTGTCTCTTTCCATCCTTCGGCACGAGCATCACGAGAGCCTCTCGCTCAGACGCTCGGTAAACCAACTTCCTTCTTTACCCTGCAATTTCCACATGCAACATTTACAGTACAGTAGGCATTCGTTTATTACCGACCCTTTTATTGTAGCATGGGAACGCCCTTCGCTCACACGTATTTCTCACACACGTGCACGCACCCCACTGTCGTTCAGCACGCCCAGGGCGGAATACATACGGTGTCGTGTTTCACACGTATATTTTATTACAGAAAGCGAAGTGTATATAATATTGTTATAATAAAATATTTCAATGTTTTTAGATGTTTTCAGTTATAATCAACTACATTTCGTATTATGCTTAATTCATATTGAATATAAGTGTTATGTAAGCAGATAAACTTATAACAAAGTCAGTATTGGGCATAAGAATGTTACACTAAAAACCAAATAAGTCCATAACTGCGAAATGACGAATTTCGGTCTTGTTTGCGCATATTCCTCTCGGTTACCTTAGTTACCAACGTCTTAAACAATGGAGCATCATTATGCCTCGTGTAGCATCATACATCGCGTGACTGTGAAGTACAAACGTGCCAATTCATAAGTATTCATGTCTTGAGAAATACTTTATTGTCACCCGGTGTATGACAAATTCTATCGTCCCTGTATAGAAAGCGTGAAAGTGGGGGTACCAGGGGTTTGAGAGACCTCTCCTGCTCATTCGAGATGCGCGAAACAGTTATGCTCTTATTTGGCGTTTAGTGTAAATGTCTTTAAAGTGGTTGATCATAGAAATTGAAAAGCTGCAAAAAGTTAAAAATTCATACATATGGAGTTTATAAATGAGATTAATACCTATTGCAGCCTTCGTCTTCTTTCGAATAAATTTTCTTATAAAATTTATTTTCCTAGGCCATGACAGTGCAAAATTTATTACAATATAATAATTAATATTATATAAATGATTATTCCTATAAATATTACATATATGAAATAATTAAAAATCTCAACCAGTATATAATTCTACAACTATTTCCGCTTAAGAAACAATTAATTTTTTCAGTATATTCTCTTCAATTTGTTACTTATAATATTTTACTTCCAATACACTTCTGAATATATGTATAAAAGTATTGGTAAATGTTTAATTCTTTGTCCAGTGATCTCTACTTGAAAATATTAACAGAAGATTCTGCATAATAAAGTCATAGAACAATAGGATTGAATGTCTTAAAAATATTATGAAAATTTAACATTGAGTATGTCATGATGACTAATTATGAGTCAGAAGTAAAATATTATACCGAATAAACTCAATGTAATGAAGTTAAAACATTAATTGTCTATTAAACTGAAATGGGTGTACAATTATTCATATACAGATTCAGCTTTTCTGTTACTCCATATTAGTAGCATCTAAATGAATAACTTATTTTCCTAGAAAAATTCCAATCACATTGGTTCAGTTTTGCTCCTTACTATATTTTGTTGCAATCACTAACTTGTGTTTTTCTACACTTTTATATATAAATAAGATAATTAATAAGCAAATGTAGTTGTTAATCATTTTGTGTCACAATTAAACAAATTCAAATATTCATATTATTGATTACATTGTTTACAATAAAGAAGAATAAATGAAACTACTATTCAATTATACATGCATTATAAACAATGGTCCAGTAACTTTGATCACATTAATTATTTTCATTATTTCTACAGGTATAAACCTGTATAAAATTTTATTCACAAAACTTATCTGGTATCAGAGGGACTATAACATAGCAGAACTAATTTTTTTATAGGTCGAGAAAAAACAGTTTGTGACATATTTTACATTTTGTATATAAAATATCTCACGAATTATTAATTTTTTAAAAAGAATGTTTAAAGATTCCACTTACGTAACAAAATATTTTTATTCCACAACATATCAGTATCATTAAAAAGGAAACATAATTAATCTTGAAAACTCAGGATATCCTCGACCAACGAAAAAATTGTTACTGCAAATTAATAGCCCTTTCCATAGTAAACAGCTTCTGTGAATAAACTTTTCTGATACCTCCAAAAATAACGAAGATAATGAAGATGATCGAAGAATGCGTATATCCAGTCCACCCTATATGCAGTTGCGTCGCACAACTGAATGGCCGAATGGAGTGGAGTTTCCTTATTGCAGTATTCTTGGAATTCTGGCCCTCTACAGCCCCGAAGGCTGCAATAAACGAATGTCTATTGTAGACATTCGTTTCCCGCACTAGTCGGAGCTGTAGCAGGCCGGAATTCCAGAACCGTGCAGGAAGCAGACGCCAGTTATCCGAGCGCTTTCTCAACTCGGCCGTTCAGTCGTGCGACGCAGCTACCTATAGGGTGGGCTGGACACGCGCACTTTACGATTACATTGTCTCCGTTATTTTTAGAGATATCAGAAAGGTTTATTCACAGAAGTTGTTCAGTATGAAGAGTGCTATTACTTAGCAGTAACAAGTTTTTCGTAGGTGGAGTATCTTCTAAGTTTTCAAAGTTAATTATGTTATTTTTATTAATGATATTGAAATATTATGGAAGAAAATACTTTTATTACATAAATCGATTCTTCCAAACATTCTGCGTAATAAAGTATTAAGGTATTATGTGAAAAAGGTAATAATTCGTGACATATTTTAGTATACGTGTGATCCTCGAGACAAGAAGCAATCAAATTGCCACCAATATTCATTGCACCAATTAAAACATTATTAAAACAGTATAACGTATTGTAGGAGATCGGATGGGACGGGCGGTCTGTGGAGACGTTTCTCCCAGGCGCTTGGGTTTTTGGTAACGACCGCTAGGTGGCGAGT